CAAGAGAACACACGCATACCAATAAAAAGTGGATAAAAGTGAGTTCATGTAATTGATATTGAATTGATAAAGTAAGAATAAAGTAAAAATGATTTAGAACCTAACAAATTTTACTAAATTTGGTATGAGACAAACTTAGTGAATGGCCCGAAAAAAATAGGACAATCTTAGCGGACGGGGGGTGTATATGATAGAGTATATGAGTCCGGATTCATGGCCCACATACTCATGAACACAATACTCTTCCCAGAGCTATTGGACTACCCAACTCGACTGGCCCCCTAGGCCAGACAAGGCCCAGCTACACAAAGAGTATCTAGAAACGATGAAATCACAGTACGAATCCAACAGTTTCACTCAAGAACAGTTAGCTAGGCTTGGTCACCAAGGCCATTGGAACATATAAAAAATAGCATTTACGTTGTATACTTATCAGAGTAGCCTAATTCATGTAAACAACCATTTTGTGGCCCATCATTATAATTGGGCCTCTCGGGCCTGAGAGCCCAATCCATATTTTCTCTATAAATACCCCACTTAGGGGTAGGTATATAGGGCTGAAAAACATTAATACAATATCTTTGTCTCTCTAGATAACTCTCCCTTGTCTCTAGATTTTCCCGTTCTGACAGAGGCAGAGCCCTCCAGTATCCTAATCCATCAAAGCCAAGAATTGCTTCGGGTTGAGGAGTAGATGACATGTTCAAAGCCGATGTGCTACACGTGAATTGGTCTGTGGATCCGATCTTCTGGGCGAACCCTGACCAAGACAACTTTTTGGGAGGATCTTTGGATTAAGGTCAATGGCCGAAGACCATCACCTAAGGACGTGATTCGAGGTGCGTTTTGCGTTTTTGTTAATACATGTGGATGAGGACGAGGTGTGATCTTTTGAAGTTGAGTTGTAGATGTAGGAGGGCGTGATGTTTGGTACAACGAGTTGTAGCCATGGGCCTAATTAATGAAGAAATACATTTCTATAGCTAAGTAATTTATATTAAAACCTTTTTATCCAGAGAAAAATAAAGAGATTAAACTTCTTCTGTATTTGATGGCCAACGGGACTTATGAAACGCCACATTCCATGCAGTAAGCGACATATGTCCCATGTTGTGAGTGGTTGGGAGTTTGGCGGTCGTTTGAGTGGCCAGTGGGTGTGTGACACGTAAAGTGTCCGTTGGATGGTTGCCTATAAACACCCTTCATCTGACGCATTCACTCCTTAATCTTTCTTTGGTTATGACGAAGTGCTACCAAAATCTACAGAGATAAATTGTTCTTCGCGCCCTTCAAAACATCAAGGTCAATTCTTCACAAGTTCTTCGGGTTTTCTCTTATACTTTGCCTCTAGGGTGGTAGAGTTGGTGTTAGTGAAACAATCCTACCTAGATCTTTAGTTTCAAAACCCTTAGGTGTTTTATTATGTCTTCTTCCAACTCTCAAAACATATTTGAGTCTTCGGAGATTGCATTTGAATCTAAAGCTGAGGGGTACTACAACTTCAAAGAGGACGACGTGGTGGAGAAATCGAAGGTCCCACTAAAGTAATTGGGGGAGTTTGATGTGAAGATTGACGTTGGTGGCTGTGAGGTCGAGACGGCTACAATCTGATCCTGTGGAGTTCGTGAGGCCTCCGCATTGGCTACCATGCCCTATTTGAAGCCAATCTTTGCCGTCTATGGGGTCAAGAGGATTGCGCCATCGATGAGGAGGAATCGCGCTCGGGAGACAAGTCGGGGGTTTTCAAAATTTAGCTTGCGGGAACCTTCTTATCATTCATCTATGGATAATGCACAAAGCAATCTCCATGTGGCGCATATGTTCGTCGGGCCATATGGCAGGGTTTGGGACCCCAAGCCTACGAATAATGTCCTTACGCCGCCACTGGGGTATTTTGGAGTATATCTCATGTGTGTTTCTAAGGGGTTGTGGTTTCCCTTGCATCCTTTTCTGGTGGAGACATTTGAAGCGACTGAGTTCTTGCCAGCCCAAGTGATGCCAAATAGCTACATGGTGATGGTTGGGTTCCTCATCCAGTGTGACAAACTAGATATCTCACTCACACTCCGACTTTTCATGAACCTGTACAAGGTCGGCCGGGGCAGTGACAAGAATTGCGATGAGTTTGCCAATTTACTTCAAGTAATAGGTCGGAGGACATTCAAGGATCTCCCCGGCCTTGTCTATTCATGGCTGGAAAGGGAAATTCGTCATTGTCACCCTCGGGCATGAGGTGGAGCTCCCGTGCACTTATTCTGAGGTTTTTTGCCTCCACTCTAATTTGACTGATGCAACCACTGAGGAGCAGGTGGGCCGGTTTAGAAAGGTACATCACATAATTCAAGCTAGTTACTCTTGGCTTTGTCCTTTATTACATTCCCGGTGATGTGGATGGCGGCATGTACTCACGGATGGCTGTTGAGTATGAGTATGCCGGGGGCATATGATCTGAGGGGGTTATTTCTGCGCCCTGAAGTGGTTATCGGGCTTGTAATTTTTATGTTTGATCACTTGTGTGTTTTGTTTTACTGTTTGTTTTGTTGTGCAGAGTACGAGATGGATCGTCTATCTTTTATGGCTCAAGCCAAAATGAAGGTAGCGGCCGAGTTGAAGGTTGCCCAACCGAGGCGGAGGCTCGGAAGCCAAAAAATTGTCGACGAGGCCTCGAAGACGGTGTCTGATGCTGGGGTTGTCGGTCGGTCGAAGAGGAAGAGACTCTCGGGGGTTGAGGGGCATAAGACCCCAACCGAAGTGAACCTTAAAGTTGTTAAGCCGTCGAAGCAGCCAAGGCAGGAGAGGACCGAGCCTCGACAAGGAAGCGCGTCTGATATTGCTGCTAGGACGTCGTGACGTGGATTAGTCGAGGGGCCACATTGCAGTCACCATTGAGGATCTCACTATGGAGGGGCATCAAGGGCATTGTGGATCAGCCGAGGGGCGACCCTGGATTCATACATTTTGTTATACCGACTCAAGTTCGATAAAAAGATCAATTTCCTGTAGTTAATTAAAGTTTGTTTAGTAATCGGAATTGGTGAAATTCTACTTGAAGTGACTGAATTGACTGGAAAAATAGAGGTTACAAAGTAAATTTATAAACATTTTTTAGTTCTTTTGGTCTCATTCCAGCTCAAGAAAAAATTTAAGCTTTCGCTAAGTCCCCTAGCAATAAGTGTGAATTGTGATAGTATGTATTCTCTTTAACTATCATTTTGATGCAAAGTCACTCTCTCCATAGTTAGGTGCTGTTCTGTTCGTCTTATTCTTATTACTTATTGCTTATTCTTATTTTATTCAGATCAGATCAGATCAGATCAGAAAAATTCAGATCAGATCAGATCAGATCAGAAAGATTCAGATCAGATCAGATCAGATCAGAAAGATTCAGATCAGATCAGATCAGATCAGAAAGATTCAGATCAGATCAGAAAGATTCAGATCAGATCAGACCAGATCAGAAACATTCAGATCAGATCGGAAACATTCAGATCAGATCAGATCAGATCAGAAAAGTTCAAACATGATTTATCACTTTTATTATTATATTAATTATTATTATTAATATTGTTATTACTATTATGATTATTATTATATAATTATTATTAATATATTAATAATAATATGATAAAGAAATAAGATATTAATAATAGTTATAATATTTTAATATAATAATAGTAATATAAATGCAATTATTAAGAAGACTATTATTATTATTATTATTATTATTATTATTATTATTATTATTATTATTATTATTATTATTATTATTATTATTATTATTATTATTATTATTATTATTATTATTATTATTATTATTATAGTTATTATTATTATTATTATTATTATTATTATTATTATTATTATTATTATTATTATTATTACAATATAATAATAATAATATAATTAATATTATTATAATATTATATTATAATTTTATGTAATTATAATTATAATTATAATTATAATTATTATAATTATATCTATAATTAATTATAATTATAATAATCATAATTATAATTACAATCATAATTATAATTATGATTATAATTATAATTATAATTATAATATAATACTAATAATAATAATAATAATAATAATAATAATCTTATTATTATTAATATATTGTAATAATAATATTAATATAATAATATCGTTATGATAATATTAATTGTATTTATAGTACTATTATTATATTATAATATTATAATTAATGTTAATATAATTATAATTATTATTAATTATAATTATAATAATTATAATTATATTATTATATTATAATATTATAATTAATTTTAATATAATTATAATTATTATTAATTATAATTATAATAATTATAATTATACTTATAATTATATTATAATTATAATTTATGATTATAATTAATATTTTTATTATAAAAATTATTATTATTATTATTATTACTATTGTAATTATTTTACGGAGTAATTATAATAATATTGATAACTATAGTTACAATTATAGAGATAAATATTGTAATTATAATTACAATTATAATTATATAAGTAATTATAATTAAAAATATAATTACAGTTATAATTATATCTATATTTATAATTAGTGTAATAGGTATAAATTTTTTCATTTTAAATTTAATTTTAATTATTATTATTATTATTATAGTTACGATTATAATTATAATTTTATTTAAATTATATTTGTTATTGCAATTATAATAAATATAATTATAATTATAATCATAATTATAATCATAGAAACATTCAAATCAGATCAGATCAGAAAGATTCAGATCAGATCAGAAGGATTCAGATCAGATCAGAAACATTCAGATCAGATCAGACCAGATCAGAAACATTCAGATCAGATCAGAAAGATTCAGATCAGATCAGATCAGATCAGAAAGATTCAGATCAGATCAGATCAGATCAGAAAGATTCAGATCAGATCAGATCAGATCAGAAAAATTCAGATCAGATCAGATCAGAACTTAAAAAATTCAGATCAGAAACATTCAGATCAGGCGAAGAGAACAGCTTCTTAATCTTAACCATTCATAAATGCTACACATTGCTTTTGAACACAAGGATGGCATTTTATTGGAATTAATAATAGAAATAATGACCTAGATAGTACTACCAGCTTATGACCCGACACAAATAAGACCTGACTTGAAACAAGACAAAAAAGAGACTATATTAAACTGAATGGACCAAAATGCCCATAATATAAAGTAAAAAAACACTCCCGATTCCCGAAAGTAATGGCTTTGACGATGGAGCTCGATATGTTGTGCGCTAGTTTGGATCTAGTTTTTTTTGACCGATTGGGGGTTGAATCGATGGTGGATAGGCTTCTCATCCCGGCGGTGCGGCTATGGCTTCTCATCCCGGCGGTGCGGCTATGGCTTCTCATCCCGGCGGTGCGGCTATGGCTTCTCATCCCGGCGGTGCGGCTATGGCTTCTCATCCCGGCGGTGCAGCTATGGCTTCTCATCCCGGCGGTGCGGCTATGGCTTCTCATCCCGGCGGTGCGGCTTTGGCTTCTCATCCCGGCCGTGCGGCTAGGGATTCTATCGTTGCGGTGCATTTAGGGGGTGGTCGGCGGCTAGTTTGTGAGACTGGGGATGGCTGGTCGGAACTGGGGCCTGGAAGGTGCCGAATTGGGTCTTGGCTACTCGGATCTGGAGCTGCGGAGGGGGCTGGACAGGGGGTTGGATTATGGTGTGGCTGTGGCTGGGTCTGAGGAAGCAGGGGAGGGGCAGGGTGTTAGACAAAGGTGGGGCTGGGGGGTAAGGGTGGGTAGGACAGGGGGTTTGGTGGGTGCAAGGTGGGGTTGGGTTGGAGTCGGTCCGGGGAGGTTGTCCACCGGAGTGAGGGCGGCGACGGGTCACCCATGTTGGTGGCCGGCTGGTGCTACCGGTGGTGTCTATCGCCTTGAATAAATGTAATTAGTATCGAGCAACTGTAACTGATCGGTTAAATGTAATTGGACATGTAATTGGTCGGATCAAGTAATTGTAACTGATAAGGTGGGTAACTATAATTGTTCAGGTCAGGTAACAATAACTGGTCGGTCGGATAATTGTAACTAGTGGTTTGAGTAATTGTAATTACTTAGGTCACGTAATTATAACTGGTCGGTTCAGGTAATTGTAATTACTCAGATTAAGTAATTGTAACTGATCGGGTCGCGTAACTATGACTGACGAATCGAGTAACTGTAACTGATGATTCGAGCAACTGTAACTGATGAATCGAGTAACTGTAACTAACGAATCGTGTAATTGTAATTGAGGATTGCAGGTAACTGGTGGGATGGGTCACTAAAAGTTTTTTGGTCACTGACATTTTTTTGGTCACTGATAGATTTTTTATTGCTTATGGCTACTAGTAATTGAGACAATCGTCATTGGAACGGTAGTAACTGAGGTGGTGTCACAAGACCGCTAATAACAATTGAGATGGTTTTTACTTGAGCGGAAGTAGTAGTAATTAGGTTGTTGGGTATTGAGATAGTTGTCACACAATTTTCACATCCTAATATTTGTTTTTAAAATAATGTTAAAATATTAAAATAATATTAGTAATTTAGTACTCGTATAACATAACATTAAAAAAAAAGTCATTAATGGAGTCCACTAAAAGAATATTACGTAGTACCAATAGTATTAAATTAAAAAAGAAAAGCATGTGATAGTCGAGGCTCGAGAGTGTGCATCATGAAGGTCCATGCGCTACTTGCCTGGTACGGTACTACGGTGCTCCGAAACGAAGGGTACATTAGTAAACAATATTTTTACTAGCCACACTTTTGGAAATTAAGAAAAAAGGTCTCTTTTATGTCTATTGTCTATTTTTTAGTAATATTTGTGACAAAACCCCTTAATAATATTATATTGGTGTAAGTCTGGTGCATTTATAAAAAAAAGATGGTACTATGGTAGGTTTTTGTTAAAAAAGCATGTACGTTTATAATCAAGATATGATAGTATATATTATCGAGTTACCATAAAAACTGTTATGATTTTTTTTATAAGGGCATCCTCATCCATTAGATTTGAGATTTAATTGGATGATGTGAAAGATTATTTGAAAGATTATTATTGTGAGTGAGAGATTATTTGGGAAGATTATTGAAAAAGAAAATCTGGTATCAAGATTTGGATCTCGAATTATTTTAGGTTGTAGTTAAATTGCATTTAATGCATGGTCTAATAAAACAAATTATTTGAGTATCATGGTTGATGAAGAGTTTTAAGATTTGAGATTATTTAAAATTTATTGAAAAAATATGATGCGGCAATAATGTGTAATAAAAAAATCATTTATTTTAAAATCATGGATGCAGATGCTCTAAGGTCTGAGACAAACAACACACTCTTTCAATCAAATAATCACACTCTTATAAGAATATATATATGTGTGTATTTGGGGTTTAAAGCACCACGTTCACTCGTGATATGGAAATTTAGCGCATTAGCCTCTTGTGATTTGAAAAATGCGTCAAACCTTCTTTTAGGAATAATTTAATGATTTAGAAATCACTTTTCCTAATATTCTCATTGAATATGGAAGTAAATATGTCAAATTCTCTAAATCATACAATAATGTTAATCATTTTTCTTTTATTTGACAATTAAATTTGTTCATATAAGAGATTTTGCGCATGATTAATTAAAACGCAGAGGAGTTTGATGCATTTATTAAATTACACGGGGCTAATGCGCCAAATTTCTATATGATAGGGTAGTTTGGTGCATTAAACCCGTGTATTTGTCGATTTATTCACGATTTGTTTATTTAATGTATGTCTTAGTAATTACTCGTAGTATATTTAACTTTTTGTCTTTTTATGCTTTACATTTTAATTTTCATTTTTCGATGTATTTAAAATTTTGCTATACTTTCTCTTTTTGGTAAGTTTTTCATTTAAAAATACTGAATTACCCTTATTGTTTTTACTTTTTATCTTTCTTTTTTATTTTTATCTTCGCTTTCATACTTTTCCACTTTCTTTTAAACTTTTTCTACATTATTCATTACCTCTATTATTTCACTCTTAAATGTTGTGTCCAACCTTATTGTAGAGAACTTTCAGATAGGGTGGGTATTTTTTTTGGAAAGTTAACTACTCCGTAGTTTGATATATTTCAAAAAAAAATATCAGATACAGCTAATATTAGGGCATCCCCATTGTTTAGATTATTTAGAGTTTAATTGAATGATGTGTAAAATTATTTTAAAGATTATCATTGTGAGTGAGAAATTATTTAGAGAGATTATTGATAAAAATAATCCGGTATCAAGATTTGAATCCCGGATTATTTTAGATTGTAATTAAATTTCATTTAATGCATGGTCTAGAAAAACTAATTATTTGAATATCATGGTTGATGGAGAGATTTAAGATTTGAGATTATTTAAAATTTATTTAATAAATATGATGTGTCAAAGAAAAACCATTTATTTTAACATCATGAATGGAGATGCTCTTAACTAGGTTACAAGCATGTATAGGAGTTTGTAATTAATATAGTAGTAAGATTACATAATTAATTTATTATTTACTTTTTCTGAATATTATACACGTTTTAAATATTTATTTTTTTTATTTAAATACCAAGACACCAAGTTATATATTTTTTTTTTAAAAAGTACATTACTTGATTTCTTTTCGTTTGTTTTGCAGAAAAATTACATTTGATGGGGCGTAGAACGCTAATTAATTTTTTTTAAAAGGTTACCTTAAACTACATGCAAATATGCAATACATTGTAACATCTATATCTTTTAATAACAATATATATATATATATACATATATATATATATATATATATATATATATATATATATATATATATATTGAAAAAAATAAAGAGTCCTAATTGAATGCCATCGGGACTTGATATTAGTTTCAATGAAGTATTGATTAAATGCAACGAGATTTTATTGCCAAAAAAAATACAACAAGATTTGTCTATGTTGGAATAAAGCTTTAATTAATTATAAGTCATTTTTATCTTACCAAATCAAAATCGTAGTCTAAATAATACGCCTTGTAGTATACTAGTATACATAAGATAAGATCTCTACAAAGTACAAACTACACATATATTCGTATTATTACTATTACAAATAATAATAAATACGGAGTAAATAAAAATAGAGGTAGAAATGTTATTTCATAGGATCCCAATTCCTGGCACTGTATAATTGGTCAAATGTTCTAAGGCTCTGTTTGCAAACACAACTAAAAAAGCACTTCCCAGCTTTTGGCTTAAAAAAGCTAAAAAAGATGTTTTCAAATGACAACTTCTACTTAAATGAATTACTTAAAAGCTAAAAGCTAGAATCTGTTTTTTACTTTTTCTATTACACAAAAAGTACTTATTTTACCAAACACCACCAACTTTTACTTTTAAAAATCACTTTTTTCTCAAACACTACCAACTTTTACTATTAATCACTTTTTTACCAAATCATTTTAAAAAGTTAAAAGCACTTCCCAGTTGGGTTTGCAAACAGAGCCTAATTGTTTCTCGAACTAGATTCTTAAGCGTCATCTTCTCCTTCCCATTAGATTCAAGCTATCATCTTTAATGATCCCTTGCCTAAGAGGTTTGTATTTCTGATCATTCGATTCATCTCTTAGGTAATTTTTTCCTCTTGTAATTTAACTCCAGAGGGGTTTCTTTGATTGTAGAAGATATCTGCTGCTCGGCAAAGCGAAATTACAAAGGCGGTGAATCAAAGGCAAAGCTTGAATTCTGGGGCCAAGTTTCAGAATAGGTGCTTCATGGATAAGAAGAAACCGGGTGAGATATTTGATGAATTCCTGTGGTTCAATTATCTCGAAGAAGTGAATGCTCAAGATTGTTTCAATTGGGGGCTGGGAGAGAAGATGATCTCTGATGATGACGATTATGATGTGGCAGATTTCTTGCCCCTTGATCCTTTTGGTATGGAAATTGGGACAACAATGGCCAGCGTTGCCACAATTACAGGTCTGATTGAAGAAATTGAAAACGACATGGATTTAAACGCCGCTGGATTTGAGACAGATGAAATCAAAGTTGGAAAAGTGGACAAACGGTTATTAGCGGAGTTCAATTTTATGTGGAAGGAGATGCCTAGCATCACGAATAATCCGGAGATGGTTTCTGATGAGACAGCTTCTGTTTGTGGAATGGATTCTGAGCATGTTCTATTTAATAGTAAAAGGGAGGTGGAGTTGATGGGTAGTTTCTGTTATGAAAGGTACTGTTTTAAGAATGATGCCACAAATAAGGATCATCAAGGGTGCAGTGAAGGTAATTATGAAGGAACAGGCGCTCCAGCGGATGCCATTTTTCTAGCCTTAGCTTTTTTGGGTGTCAAGGACCTTCTTTCTGTTGAAAGAGTTTGCAAAACAATGCGTCTTGCATTGCTGAATGATCCCCTCCTGTGGAGACATTTCTCTGTAGATCAATCATTGAGTCGTAGGATAACTGATGAGGCCCTTCTGAAATTGACAGATAGGGCTCAAGGCAGTCTCAACTATTTGAGTCTTGAGGGGTGCTCAAAGATCACCGAGAGTGGGTTGAAGCGTGTACTTGAAAGAAATGCAAACCTAACAAAGGTTTGTTTGTCTTTGTTTGGTTTATTTATGTGTTTTCTCTTTGTGATATTTATGCATATTGTAGAAGAGTTCCGTAACTAGGATTAGAACACAACACATTTCTTGAATTAGGGCTTTCATTGGTTTTTCCTGAAAATATACCTATTCACTCATAAAAGATTTTTTTTACTACTTTTATGTTCTCAAGAATCGAATGAGTCTTATTTTAGCACGAAACAAGAATACTCCTGTTTGCACATAATTCATGTTTTGCTTATATCTGAGGTAATTTCTTCGCTTCCATCATTGAGATAACCTCATAATTTTGTCTTCAGTAGGATTAATTCTATCATGGAAAGGAATATCCAATATTGTATCCTTACTTTTCCCTCTGAAATGATATACAGCTTAGTGTTGCTGGATGTTTGAAGATCAGGTTTGACAGCCTTCTATCCATATTGAAGTCTGTACCAAAACTGCGACTCGAGACTCTCAGAATTGGTGGACTATTTGGCGTCACAAATGAAGGATTTGAAGAGTTGAAGGCACTTTTAGGGGTTGATAAAAGCCGGCTACCAAAGGCTCAGAAGTTAAACTTTTACAGTGGTGACAAGCTGTATCGCTCGCTTGATGATGACCATGACATTGACATTGAAGTGTGCCCAAGGTGCCGAGAGCTGAGACTAGTCTATGATTGCCCTACAGAAAGTTGCCAGAAAGTGCAGCATGGCAAGA